AAGAGCTATGAATCATGTCCCTCAAAAAAGAACATAAGTGATTTGCAAAATTTTATATGTTAAATACTTTAGGGACCCATCATTACCCCTAGGTTTGCAGCGTGCGTCAACCATTGGATGAAGTTCTCGAAGCATTGACTAGGCAGTATACAGATGCATTTAGATCCATTCACAGCTGCAGGAACCAAAGACGTGATTAAGAGGTGATAAGGTATAGAAGGTTATCGTGGGTCCTAGTAAGGGGTAGAATGTCAGGGTCTAGATTAGGTTAGGTAGTTTAAAACTAGTAGTAGGATTTCCACTTCCTAAAGATTCAACCTGGAATGCGGACCCACCTACTGGGTGTAAAGTTGGTATAACCAGGTAAGGCTATAGGTGATAGGGGCAGGTTAACTTAGATAGACCATTATAGTCATGTAATGGGTTTAATTACTTAATAAACATATGTTATTAGTACCTTTCATCCGAAAAAAAAAAAATAAATTTTGATAAAAATGAAATTTCAATGAATATAATAATAAAAAATACTATTTTGGAAAAAATTTTTATCAATTTGCTTATTATTAATTTGTAATATATATAATAAAATATATTAATATTAAATTATATAAATTAATAATTTGTTTATATTAATTATATATTTAAAATGATGGATTTTATAATAAAAATTGATTTATAATTTGTTTATATTATTAATTTGCTAAATTATTCTTTTTTTAAATATTATATAAGTAATATTATATCAAATATATATTTTTAACTAATAAAAATTAATCAACAATAACCAATTTATTATATTAAAATTAATAATAAAAGGATCAAATATTTGTAAATATATAGTTTCTAAACAATATAAAAAAAATTATTATAAATATTCTATTTATAAAATAGAGATACAAAAAATATAGAATAAAAAAATTGAAATAATATTAAAATTTTTTAAAAAAGTTATAAAAAGGAAAAATCAAAGTTAAAAAAAAAATATAGTTAATAATAAATAAATAAACAAATGAATATTTAAATTAAGTAATTAGATTTTTAAAACTAGTTAAATTATATTAAAATTTTATACAAGTTTAATAAGAAATAACCTAATAAAAGAAGTAGAAAAACTATAATGCTATTATAAAACAATTAATTCAGAAATAAAAAAATGAATTCTAAAAATATAAAAAATAATTTTAATTAAAATTAAATACAAGATATAAAAAGATAATAAAATATAAATGCGTTTAAGAAATTTTTAGTTATAATAAAACAAACTAAAAAATATATTTAGTCTAACAAAAATTATTTGAATTATACTTATATAAAGACTTTAAATAAAAAATTTTATTAAAAATATAATAAATAGAATTAAATATAATATAAATTAGTTAGATTTTAATTTTTATCAAAGTTCAACAATAATTAGCAATAGTAATCTATAGATAATAACATTAATAATTAAGAGTTTTATTGAAATATTAAGAAAGCAACATATGATCTCTAAAATTGTAATAACATTAAGATAAGTAAATTAAGAATTAATATTAGTAATATATATTATATACTGTATATAGTTTATAAAAGCTTAATAAAGCACTCATACTGTAACTAATCTGATAAAATTAATTATTCAAATTATTATTTAAAGCAAAAATCAATTCTTTAAATTAATGCCATTAAATAAAAATCTATATAATCTTTATACTAAAAGAATTTAGTCAATTATTTGGATTTCATCTTTATTAAAATAAAAAAATAATTATATTTCTTAAAAAAATAAATTCTATTGAATATACAGTATAACTAAAATAATACTTATAAAAAATTACACATCAATACTAAAACATCGTAAATATTAAAAAAAAAATTTTTTTTCTAAATGACAATAAATATTTTTTGTTTGTGACGTATCTGGGTAATTTAAATTGTCAAGTTATGGAATAGCCTTCGTGGTATTATTGTAACATTCGACTAATAATATTAATTACCCCAATACAGTAAACCGGTTTTCTCAACTATAAAAAAAATAAAGTTAGAACACGAAAAATAAAAATTTTTTTCTATTTTTAATGAAATAATAGAGAAAGAAATACCTGTAATAAAAAATCAAAGTTTCTGTTAAACATTATGAAAACTTGGTTTCAATCACTATCTTCTAGCCATTTATTTAACGTTTCTTTAAGTTGTGGTATTTTTAACGGTTTTGTGAGGAAATCGTTCATCCCTGACTCGAGGCATTTCTCTCTTGAACCTTGAATAGCTGATGCCGTTAGCGCAATAATCGGTATTTGCGATACCGGTGATTTCATTGCTCTTATGACTCTCGAAGCATCATATCCTGACATTATTGGCTGAAACAAACAATTGAGTACAAAATGAGACATTAAATTATATTTGTGAAGTAAAAATAATTAAAATTTTAAAATTAAAACCTTTACCATTGCACAATCCATCAAAATCAAAGAAATATTTTCGCAATGATTCGAATGTAAATTAGATGAGATTGCGAGTGTTTCTTTATTATTTAGATAATTGGCTATTTCGGTTATTAAATTTACAGCCTCCTGTCCATTTGTTGCGGATAATGATTGATATCCGAGTTTTGTAAGTTGATGTCGTATAATTTTAAGATTTATGGGATTATCCTCCTATAAATTAATTACCGTTAAAAATGTACAGTACATATACGTTAATATTTAAGAAAAACATACCACACATAATACACATTTTGAATTTAAAATAGGCTGCGCTTCTGATTTTGGCATATGACCATGATTAAGAATTGTGTTCTCTTCATCCTCCGAATTTATCCTTTTTAAAGCCGTGCTTTTTGATAATTCATCTAAAGATGAATTCGTTAGATTACTTTTCGTTCCATAATTCTTTAGCGATCATAATAGAGTACCTTCAATATTATTTTCATTTATCTGCAAACCACCTACAGATAGATTTTTAATGTGAGCCAAGGACCGATTATCATGATAATATTTTTCCACTCTTAATTCTCTTGACAGTTTAACAACGCTATAATCATCAAGTTTATCAGACGTCGAATCAAAATTTTCATTACTATATAAACAATCTAATATTCGTTTTTGCATTATAGGTTTATATAAAGTAATAGTTCGGCCTCCAACTTCTTTTATTATTTTTTCTCCCGAAATACGTCCTCTAGTAGACCAAAAGACTATCAATACTATGCATAAGTGATCTCCACATAAGCTTCGTAATCCTTTTAATGCCTTATTAATATAATCCAGGTTATCCTTGCAAATACAAGGTCATATATTTCATCATGTTGTTCTTTCCACATTTTTGCAGATGCAATACTCTCTTCAACGGTGCCGAATGCATCAACTTGTTTAACATGACTTCCTATTAACTTAGCCAAAGTGTTACGGGCCACATGAATAGGATCAATAACAAGAACACGTTTTGATCGTGCGTTTAGAGGGAAAACTAAGTTTGATTGATTGACAGGTAACAGCTCGACGATCCAAGTAAACCAAAATCGACTTCCTTTTCCTAATTCACTTGTGACTCCTAGTTTGCCTCCGTTCATGGATACTAGATGTTTGCAAATTGAAAGACCTAATCCTGTGCCGTCCTGAGGTCTAGTTATAGTGGCATCCGCCTGCGAAAAGCTTTCCCATATATATTTCATGAATTTGGGATCAATACTAAAATAGAAACATAAATATTACAATTTTATACATATATGCAGAAGAAAAACTAGCTTAGATTTAATAATTACCCAACACCAGTATCAATCAATTCCACATATATCGTGTTTTTTTTTGTGCTATCCTTAATCATGGATTCGTCGGACGAAGCCATCAAAACCCTAAGAACTATTTCCCCAGTTTTTGTAAATTTTATACTTTTTAAATTAATGGATTATAAAAATTATTTCAAAATTAAAACCCATATGATATATAATAACAAAAAGATGTCGTTCAACATAACTTACGAATTAGACAACAAATTTATTAGAACTTGCTGTAACCTAGTTATGGGGTCCTTATTAAATAATGCTTCGTCAAATGTAATATCATGCATAGAATAATTATCCATACCTATCGGGATCTGATTTTACATATTTTGGCAGAGATGTATGCTCATAGCATAAAATTAATTCAAGCCGTTTAGTTCCTGCCTTTTCTCCGAATAAGTTTAAAGTTTCTTCAACTACTTGAAGTAGATCAAAGTTTCTATTAATAAGTGTAATCTTCTGCGCCTCAAGGTTTGCTACATCAAGGATGTTGTTAATCACAGAAAGAACAACGTCTGATGCACGTGTCATTATTTGAACCATTTCTTTCTGATCTTTAGTTAAAGGAGTATTTTCAAATGCTGATAATAACCCTATTATTGCCCCCAACGGTGTTCGAAGTTCTGTTGAAATAATTAGAACGCGTTAAATAATTCAAAAATCAAGAGAAAAAAAAGAATTACATATAACTTACCATGAGAAGTATTTGCTAAAATTTGTCCTTTAGCTTCATTAGCTGCTTTCGCAGCTTCCATCTGAGCCTCCTTTTTTAATTTTTCTTCCATGAGTATTGCATGTGTTATCGCCAGGCCAATTTGATTTGAAATTTGTTGAATAAAGACTTTCTCTGAATCCAACCAAGTTCTATTTGGCGCCCTATTGACAACTATCCACCCCCATGCTGATGAGTTTGTTTTAATTGGCATAGCAATGATAGAAGCGTGGCGGCCAACTGCTCTAGAATAGGAATTTTCCATAACTATATATTCATTATTATTCATTAATACATCTTGAAGCTTTCCAACTGCCTCGCTACCTGTATCAGTAATATTATATTTTAAAAATAACTTCTGGATATCTTTTTCGTTGTTGAATGAATATGGCACAGATCTTCCCGCTAAATTTTGTTCATTTGGATCGGAGGCCGAGAAAGCAACTATACGACCTTCACCCGAGTTAGTAGAATCAATTTTAATAAGAAATATTCTCTCACAGGATAATATTCTACAAATTTCCTCAATAGCCATTGATAGTGTTTTTTCTATATTAAGTCCAGAGCGAATCTTATCACTTATTGAGAATAATAACTCTCGGGTCTCTGATTGTTGTTTCTGTTGCAGCAAAAGTTGTTGACGAAGATGCGAGAGTTTAATATTAGCTTTAATTCGAACAATTAGATCCTTAATACTAAATGGTTTAATTAAATAATCATCCGCTCCTTGCTCCAATCCTAAAGGAAAAAAGTAAATAAAATTGCTATAAATAAAGGAATATAAAATGAGTTAATTAAATTATTAACCTTCTACACTAGCATCTTCATCCGCTTTAGCAGACAAAAAGATCATGGGAATTAGCTGGGTCACTGGATTAGATCTTAGTGTCTTTAATAATTCCAAGCCGTTCATATTTGGCATCATAACATCTATTAGAGATAAATATATCGGAGGTTTTAATATTTATTGTGGTGTGAATAAATCAGAAGCATTGAAAATTACCACTTAAGATCAAGTCAGGTAGCTTTTGCAGTTTCCTCAATATCTTTAAAGCGTCTCGACCGTCACAAGCGCTGTATACTTTAAATTCCTTTTGTAACAAACCATAGAGATAATTCCTTATAATAAGGATTAACCATAATAGCTTAGTCAATATGACAAAAAAAAAAAAGTTTTGGCAGATGCAACTGTTATATCAATATACCTCATGTCCGTATTGTCATCGACAACAAGAATGTGGTAAATAAATTTATGTGCATTCGATACGTCGTCATACAGTGAAGGAAAAATTATGTTTTGAATATCGGCCTTTTTACTCTCCGACACCGAATTTTTAAAGGTGTCCAAACAATCTAAATCTATGGCGTCATCCGCGTTATCATCATTAGTTAAATCAGGTTCACTATCGGGATCATTTTGTATCCATTGATGCGATTCTTCAAGATAGAGATCACGTCCATTAAATAGACATTTTTCCATTGAATTTATTTCATGTTCATTATCTTCAAAATATACTTGTTTTTCAGGCAAATGTGCCCAACCCGTCGGCAGTGATACACGGAAAGTAGTACCCTTATTAACTTCTGAATGCACGGAAATTTCACCATCGTGTCTCAGTACCAGCTCCTTTACAAGTGCAAGTCCTATGCCGGTACCTTCATAACTACGAGATTGACTTGCTTCTACGCGATAAAAACGCTGGAATAAGTTTGCTATATCTTTTTCCGGAATTCCTACACCTTTTAATATAATTCCGATAATTATTTAATTAATAACTTACAGTAAATTAAAATTATGCAGTATATAGTACTTATAATACTGTACCGGTGTCTGAAGTCTCTAGTATAACCATTTCCCTTTCATCCTTATAGTCCGAATATAAACCAATTGAAACACTTCCTTTCCAAGTGTGCTTAAACGCATTTGAACCTACAGTAATAAATAATAAAAATTAATATAAATTATTTGTAAACTATTTAATAGGTATTCAAGAAGAATATTACTCACATAAATTAAACACAATTTTTTCATACATGTCTCCATCAATAAATACTTTCTGTTTTAATTTACTATAAAATTTTTCGTGACTTGAAATTTGAATAACATATTCTAGCTTTAACGATTCTGCCATGCTTTCAAAACTTGAAGCTAATTCCATAGTATATTTCACAATATCAGTCTCCCGAAATTGCGCTTCAAATCTGTCCGATTCGATTCGTGAAAACTAAGGTTCACGAGGAATAAATACATAAAATGAAGACCATGAAATCTTTAAAACTGCTTTTTCAAATACTAACCTGTAACAATGTATTAACAAGTTTAAGTAGTCGATGGGCATTTCGATTAATCATTTGTAAGTTTGAAAGAATAGGTGATTCTGGAGGGCAAGCATTGATAGACTCTTCAAGCGGCGAAAGCATCAACGTTAATGGCGCTATTAATCGCATCGAAATTTTAAATTTATAATCTAATAATTTAAAGAGTACGTTAATATTATAAAACTTGACTCTTACTTCTTAGTTCGTGGCTAATATTTTGGAAAAACATTGTTTTTTTATAATTCAAATCTGCTAGAATTTCGGCTCGTTTCTTATCCTCTTCGCGCGATCGGCCATGTGATAAGCTTGAACTAACATGACCAACAACGAGCTTAATGCATTAATGAAATTTAGTTAGTCAACGAAACGCTAATAGAACTGCATCCAATTTAATACAAACATGTAAAAAATCCAAATATTCTCGATCTAAAGCACGGTTCTGATTTAAGCCGCAGATAACTATGGCAGTTAATAATGTTTTTCCCGCAAAAGACGTGTGCACCGGTAAAAGAATTGCCCGAGAGTTGTCTTCTAAGGTAACAATTAGTTGCGAATTTGATGATACCACTTGCTCTATGGGCCAAGCAGATGGTTTAGCTGCAGTTAAATCTAATATTGATTTTAACGATGCATCCTGATTATTGAAAACCTTATTAAATGAATTATCCTTATCGCACTGGAGATCTACCGTTTCAAAGGTATCCAGTAAGAAATCCGGTAGTTCTCTTGTCGATTTTCCTTTGACAAAAACTAATTCTTCAATTTCATCCTCGCTCTTTACTACTTCGAGATCGGTATCAAAAGTTGTGGCTACTAGGTACGCTTTTTTACCATTAATCTTAGGTTCTTTTTCATAATTCTTAATAGCGTAGATGAGTGAAAACGTAATATCTTTATTGCAATCGCGTAACGTAGATGACACGAGATGGCAAGCGCTTTCCATTGTTTTGGCGCCTAAAATTATATATAATCATGTCATGTAAGCATAATAAATAAACTTATAATATATAAATACATACCGGGCGTTCTATTTCCTAGTTCGCTTAAAGTTTTTAATCTCCTAGCGGCCAAAACCCGTTGGGTTGTTTCCTGAACAGCATTAAACACACCACCAACAGTTCCGTCTTCCTTGAATATAGGACTTAGAGTAAATGAAAAATAGCATTCTTCTATATAACCCTCTCGATGTATTAGGTAAAGCATATCATTATGGAATTGACCGTTGCCACTCGAGACCATCCTAATTTCCATAATTTAATGATTGAATTAATTGAATTCTCCAGAACAATTATACAATTAATACATGAATCGATATATATATATGCAAATAACTACACACTCTTCAAACAGCGGCCCTAAGGTGTCAAAAACTTCATTATAAACTTTGCTTGCAGGAGAGCCTAACGCTAAAATTAGTCGTTAGATCTATAACTGGACGCGAAATTTTGAATAGCCTGTTAAAATAATGTTTTGAAAATAATACCTGCAGGATGCTTCTTTTTTAATATGGGCTTATACACTATATAAAACGAAGGTTGAGAAATTTTCTCATTTTAAAATGTATTCATAATATTAATTTATTTACTCTGGTTATATATCATAATATATTTCGGACCATAGAATATCGCAATAGGGAATACAGCATGTAGGCATAAATCCTATTATAGTAAATAAAAAAAGTTATATTGCAGCTCTTGGATCTACGCGTTCTTCATGTGTCCACGCAATTTTATTCCAGATTCGCTAAAATTTATAGTCAGCATACCACAGTCGTTTTCAAAGATGAGCTCCAAGAATTCATGGGACCAAGGGGAGTTGATGACCAATCGAATGAAAAGACAAGGTCGGATACTAAAATTTCATCAGAATAAGGATTGGATGAGAGTAATTCAGTAACTTCCTCTTTTATTAATGACATTTCTTAAAAAAAAAAAGCTAAGATGTGATGAGTACGGATAAGAGTAAGTCGGAAAATAAATTTAAATATATACAGTATAAGTAAACACTGTAATGCATGTACACAATGTAACCAAGTTTCTATTTACGATCATCATAGAAGCTACCTCTGTAGAGCATTAGATCTCTTATTGGTTCACTCAGGTTCGAAATATATCACACCACTTTATTATTTTTGCTTCAAGGATGACATAGGATTAATTAGACCATACTATTTACTGATTATACATTCAATTCGGGCTTTGTATTGTCCATTTTGTCCACGTTGTATATGGGATCATGCGAAAGTTTTTTAAATAACGTGAAATCATCGCAGCAATTCCTTATTAATACTTGAGTCAAGATGTGTTTTAATTTTATACTTTCATTATTTGAGAGTCAGTGTTTTGATTGCACGGAACCGGATTGTGATTGCAGACTGAATCTTAATAAAGTAACCTCATGTCATTAAACATGTAAGATCGTGCTACACTGGAATATTTTACGATAAAATTACCAATACAGGTTAGTTAGTGTAGAGTTATTGTAAACACCGAATTTGTTATTTAACGTAACTTGGAAATTCAGAAATTGGAGCATGTAATGTGTTTATCATTAATGACCGTATTATTGAAATTACAGTATATTATCGAGTTGATATTTACACAATATAAGCAAATACTAAATTTGATTGAATATTTAATAACTTTATACTGTATATAATTTATTTTTTAAAAATTTATTAAATATATTTAACATCAATATTGCTAATTTTATAAAATAAATTTTTTGGTTATATTTATTATTATTATACTCATAAAAGAATTTTTAATTTTTATTTTATTTTTTTTATATTTAATTCTTCTTTAGATTAGTTATATATACTTTATTAAACAATTGTATACTGTATATAAATTTATATATTGTTAAAGCTTAATTCGTTTGTCTTAATTTACAAAACTCTAAGCTCAACTATAGAAGTAATTTACTGTAATACTTTATTAGTAGTTTGAATAAAAAAATTTCGTTAATTACTAATATTATTTTTTGTAAAACAATATTGCATCATTTTATTAAGAATTAAGACTCAATTATTTTATTTTGTACTTGATCTCTTTTGTTAAAATCATTATAAAATCTTTTTTTTTTTATCTTTGCTATTTTTTTAAATCTTATTTTACTTTTTTATATAGTATGAATACTTTTTTAAAATTTTTTTTAATTAATTATAATTTAATAAAATTTTTATAATATAAAAATTTTTTAAAATATATTTTTTAAAATTTAAAAAATTATTTATTAAAAATTATTTATTTATTTTTTTTTAAACTGTGGCTGGTATTAGATAGGAAATTTTTATTAACATGTAGTTACTGTCATATACATCAATTATCTTGTACATTCTATATATTTCTATATATATATAGATTAATAATAACCTATTGCAACTTATACTAAGTCAGTTTATACTTAGAAAATTGGTAGACTCAGCTAGGGATCAAATAATTAATACAAGTCATAAATAGTAAGTTTCAATTAACTCATATTGGGCTTTAAATTAATTTTTTAAATTTATTAAACTAATTTGACTACATATATATCTGATAGATTTTTAATAATTTCTTCAATATATCTAAATTATATTATTTATTTAGACCTTAAAAGATAATATATTACTTTCTTTATTATTATTTATAGTATTAAATTAATTATAACTGACTGATTTTTATTTAAGTATAATACTAAATTGAGATATTATAAGTTAAGAGAATCAAGTCTCAGAATCTTCCAATATATTTAAGATTTTATTGAGATTTTTGTAAAAAGTTAAACTAGAAATATTTCTTTATGTAATTCTTCTGATAATACAATCATAAATTACAACCCCTAATTAATAGAAGGTCGGAAGTTCAATATTTATATAATTTAATCTTATTAAATCTTGATCTGAATAATGAGTACAACTTTTATAGAATAATTAGTAAACCTGATCAAAAAAATAATTTTAATTTTTTATTCTTTAGTAATATTGAACTACAAACCTTATAATTTTAATCTGAAAATACTATCACTGTGCTATTGATCCATAGATCTTATTTATTAAATTTATTTAATGATTTATTAATAAATTTATTATAAAATTCTATTTTAAATTTTAAAAAAATAATTTTAAAAATATATTACAATATTTATAAAAAATTATATACTGTATATATATGTTATAAATAAAATAATCTATGGATCAATAGTACAGTGATTAATACTTCATAGATCAAATTACAATATACAGATTCAAATCTTCTAGGGGGCTACAATAATTTAATTTTTCTGATTTAACAAAAGTAGATAGGATTTGTATTCATTGGTCTAACTGTAAATTAATCAATATTTTTAAATATAGTTACTGATTTATATAAAGATTGTAATTGATCAAATATCTGAGATTGGATAGGATCATCCCTGATATGACTGCATTATCCAATAGTAATAAAAAGAGTACACTTCAAACTGATAGTATATCTCTCAAAGTAAAATATATAATTATGTCAAGTTTCATAGACTTTACTAACAGAAGATCCTAGTAAAAGAAAGCAAAACCCTGGACCACTTCAAAAGACTGAAGAAACCAAGGTTTAGAATATTATAATCAATAGCCTGATAACCAGAATATTCTTAAAAAAAATTGTTCTGAAAAAAATTAAGACAGATTTATATATCTTTTTGAATAAGTAATAATTGTATATAGTATTATATAATATATATAGTATATATAACTACTCATATATAGATAAATCTACTATAAACATTATATATACAATTGTTTCTAAAAGTTTGAGTCCACTTACTATATTTTTATTATAAATTTCTACTTTGATAATTTTTAAATCCTTAATTATACAACCAAAAATTATTTTTTTTTTTTTTTTTTTTAATAAATACACAACGTTGCCCATTTTATTGATTATATGCGTTACATGTACTCTTGTTTACAAAGCAATTTTATAAACTATTTCT